TTTTTTGGTTTTTTGAGGCAGAGTTTCTCTGTGTAGCCCTGGCTGTCCTAGAACTCGCTCTGTAGACCAGGCAGGCCTTGAACTCACAGAGATCCACCTGCCTCTGCCTCTTGAGTGCTAGGATTAAAGGCATGCGCCACCACGCCTGGCTCTTTTCCATTCTTATAATTAATTATTCATCAAGACCTAGAACAGAATGAAAACATTCACTTTTAACAATTACCAAAGAGTCAGTAAATCAATTAGAATGCTATAATTCAGGAGTCCAACACAAACAGCTCATGTCTCAACACTGCTTTCTGGAATAGGGCAATCATTTCTGGCTTCTCATAGACTTACCAAACATCTTGCAAACTCTTTGTTTTCTGACAGGAATCCATACCCTGGGTGTACCTTAGGAATGAAAAGAAAAGGCTCTCTTAACTTTATCATACTGTAAATCTTCCCAAGCCACAAGGTATTCACTGTTTCAGTGTGTTGAAGGTGACTTCCTCAATGACCAGTTCTACTGCAGTTTTCTGAGTAAAGAATCAAATTCCTCCTTTGTTCTAGCACCAGGCAGCCCACAATGGCTTCTATGTCCTACCCAGATGCATTTGTCTGCTCTATCCAACAGAAACTCACTTGACTTTTCCTGAGGCTGTTCAACAAGTTTAGAGAACTTCACAAGTGGGTCAAGGAGTTATGATCTACAAACTTTTGGCAATACAGATGAAAATCTCAAGAATAGCTGCTTTCTAAAGCCCACACTTGCCAGGCATGGTCGCACAAGCCTATATATAGTTCTAGCACTTGGAAAACTGAGGCCAGCAGATCTCTGAATCTGAGGCCAGCCTGGTCTACATAGTGAGTTCCAGGACAGCCAGAGCTATGTAGAGAGACCATGAATGAATGAATGAGCGAGCCCAAGCTCTAAGCCACACAGTACATCTTATTCCTAATAGCAGAAGGTGTTCTAACACTCTCCAGAGCCTTTGTCAAACTGCACTCAAATGGAGGTTTGATTCAACTTTTACTTTGTACTCTCTATATGTTTTCTTTTGATATCTATTCTTTCCTTACTCCAAATTTGGCCATTCACAATTACTCTGTGCTATGTTCCCCACAGGCCACAAGGTGCACTCTAACCTGTGTCCTAATCAAGTCATTTTTCACTCTAATACACAGCCAACCCTAAGCCACACCAACATCAGTCAGTGTTGGAGCAATTTCTAGTAAAATACTTCTGCTAGCAGAAAAGTTGGATTCCTGAAGGAGCCAAAGAAAGAACCTGAAACAGCTACACACCTGATGCTTGACATAGTCCAGAATAATTTAAATACTGCACAGCAGGAAAAGACCTTCACTCCATCATCTCATTTAAATAGAAAAAGCCACTGGAGACTGTGTTCTGACAAGCGAGGGTTAAAACCTTACAAGTTTTACTTCTGTTCAACGCTAACACACTGTAAGCATCCACAATACGAGTCCTAGAGTAGTGTTTTATCTAAGCATTTCTTCCTAAAGAAAAGAGCAGAGAGAGCACTAAAGAAGGTGCTCCAGGCTGGTGCAGATGCTGGCTGTTTTCATCCAACTCTAGTGATAATTCTGCTTTTAATATCAAATGTACAGTTAGTTCTCTGGTTAAAAACAAAAATCAAAGATTACTATACCTGATGTCAGAAACTAGTTTTTTCCTTGGATTCCACTCCATCCAACCCAAATTAGGGGTGGAGAAAGGATTTACCAATGTAAGTTATTAGCATTTTGTTGACGCTAACAAACTGAGATAACTAGTAAATACACTGTTTTTATTTCTAGCAATGCAAATGAGTGTGAACAATTTTTAAATGACTAAATTGAAATTTAAACAGTCTTTTCAGAGCCTGCTTATAACACAGAAGGCTGGGATCTTTGTTTTTTGTTTTTAATGCTCTTATTACACTGAAAGGGTTAATACTCAAAACTAATTGGGATTTCTTTCTTCCTGGCAAATGTGGAACTGAACTGAAGCTGCTCCCTGGTGTGAGAGCTGAACCCAGCAGCCACCTGCAGCATCAGCCACCAAAACTGCCAGATGCTACAAAGCCTTTGATTTTCAGTAGTGAATCCGGCCACATTTAACTCGTGTGACACAAACTAACTGCAACAGCATTTTCAATCATTCTTTCTTATGTTTCCTAATACAAACTCTAGCTTTCTGCTCACTGCATACGAAACAGCTGCAGAAAGTAGGTTCATTCAGACTCACAGCTTGGGCCCTGGTTTTCTTAATGGCTTCCATGATGGCATCCACGTTGAGGTAGCTTTTACTGGTGGGAGCTGGGCCAATACAGACAGCCTCATCCGCCATTTTCACATGAACCTAAAGAGACAAATCCCTGCGTTAACAGATGCTCTGTAAAAAGAATTACAACCACCGTAAGCAGAAGCAAATTTTCAAATCTGATTGTTTCACAGTGACTCATAGAATCAAATTTCTTTTCAAATATCCGCTAAAAAACACCACCACAACAAAAAGGCTCTGGGTCTGTATTACCCATGACTTCATTATTAGGCATGCCTCACCCACTGTCTAACCAAGCAATTTCTATAATACACCTGTATCCCTCTTTGGTTCATCCATGCATAAATCTGATATCAAAAACTACCTCACTACATGGAACCAGAATAGTCCAATATTTTAATAACAGGCACATTCATGCCCAGTTCTGAGCAAGCTCCCCAGGAAGTTGGATAATTAGAGGGACTGAATGGAGGGATGCAATGAGTGTCCCTGCACAGCATCAGGTCGGCACCAGGCTCAAATTAAAGCCCAGAACTAAAGAGTTCAATATCATAACACATGAACCAGAAAATTCTAAGAAACATTTAGATACTCTCACATTCGAGTCTTGTCCATCTTACATTTAGTCTAAAAAAAAAATGATGTGTGTAGTAAGCACTCAATCTATTCAAATTCAGGCATGTGCTTTCCATTTTTAAGACAACTCACTCTACAGTTTTTAGTCTGTGTGTTTTTGCTTAAAAAGAGTCTAGGTAGGCATTCAATAGTGAAAGATAAACTGTTTAATTCCAAAAAAAAAAAATCTATTCTTTTTAAAATTATCATAGTATGTTTTTAAACTGGCATCTTATAATGATTTTACAGCTTAAAAAACTCAGCTTATTTTGAAAGGCAGATACATAAAACTGGGTATGAACATACATCTCAACATTTATGATCCACTTCTCCACTGAGAGAGAAGAGGGGAGAATCAACAGTAGAAAATATTTCAATGTCTCTAAGTCATAATGTTCAGTTCTGAACTAATTTTTAAAAACTACTTTTTGAAGTGAGATCTGAAAATTTACAAAGTTGACTTTTAGAAAAAAAACAGAATTCTTTTTATTAATTCAATAAAGTTTTCCAATTTAGTAAATGTCATTGCACATTAAAAGGTAAATGATAACCTCCTCAAGGAGGTTACAGATCAGTATCTTAATACAAAATACTCAAATATATATACTCTTGGGGGGTTTTTTGTTTTGTTTTGTTTTGGGGGTTTTTTTGTTTTGTTTTGTTTTGTTTTTTTGGTGTTTCAAGACAGGGTTTCTCTGTGTAGATTTGCATCTTTCCTGGATCTCTCTCTGAAGACCAAGCTAGCCTCAAACTCACAGAGATCCGCCTGCCTCTGCCTCCCGAGTGCTGGGATTAAAGGTGTGCGCCACCACCGCCCAGCCAATAAATTTCTCTGCTTCTTAAATGCTGTGATTAAAGGTATGTGCACCATGCCTGGCCCCAGTTTCAACAGTCTTGAGAACTAGCCTTTCTGGACTGCTTTGTTCTTTGTCATTGTCTCTGTGGTAAATAAGATGAAGGGCTCCAGATGTTTTTCTTCTCAGACGACTCTGCCTATCTGTTCTGACCCTGCATTAGACTGTAGGTTTGTAGAGATGCTATAACTCACCCCTCTGTAGTGAAATCTATTTCTGAGAAACAGAAGTGAGTGTATGTGTAGCCCTTGCCTGTCAAGTCCATTTTTGCACTTGCAGTTTTTACCTGCTTGGGATGTATAATTGGAGTGTTCATTAGAACAATGTGAATCAGCAGCAGCAACATGTTAGACTCAGAACTTGTCCTTGGTGTGTTTATGAGGCATTTGTAAAAATGCAGGGAGGCATGTCTACTATGGTAGCTAAAGAAAAAACGGAAAAGTTACATATGCCGCATCTTAGAAGTATGAAGACAAGACGAGTCAAGGCATCACCATACCATCAGAGCCCTCCTTTTCCAGTGTGTGTGTGTGTGTTCATTATAGACATTTTGGGCATATGTGTATCTTTTGATTTCTTTTCCTCCATATGTGTGTTACTTATTAGACTGATTGCTCAGGCTGAGAAGGCATCCTTTGGGTGTAGCTGGGTTTGACTTCAAAGACAATGACTTATTGTTGGCATTTTTCTTTTTTCCTTGAAAGATGATAGTTTTACCATTTAATAATGTGGGTTTAGTAAATAATTCCCATCCTGAACTTTTAGCATAACAGCATGTTAAAAGCTTTTAAAAAAAATTTAAGACATGGTCCTTCTCTGTATATCACTAGGATTTGTGGAGGAGATACACATGTCATAATAATATAGCTGGTAAGATATAAAAATGAGGTTCTCAGGTTGAAAGAGATTCAGTGCCAGCATCTGTGAGAGGTCGGATTAAAGGAGGGTCACCCAGATGTGCAGTGCCCAGCAAGACCCAGCACATCATGAGAGAGATACATTGTATAAAGCACATACTAGTTTGACTTTAGCAGCCACCCTCACTTGGCTAATGCTTCTTTCACAAGGATCATTAAGTATTTTTCTTTACAGAAAACAAACCAAATGCACAGCCATAATGACAAGAACAGAGTTGATGACAGCAGGGTCTGAAACGGTCTAAGAGCAGCAGAGAAGCATGAGGGTGAGGACAATCCAGGCCAAGACAGTGAAGAAACAGTTAAAAGCCCCTGTCAAGCAAGGCTGCCTTTCCTTGCTGTGTATGTCATTAAAGGAGTATAAAGCTGGGCGGTCGTGGCTCACGCCTTTAATCCCAGCACTCAGGAGGCAGAGGCAAGCGGATCTCTGTGAGTTCGAGGCCAGCCTGAGCTACAGAGAGAGAGAGATCCAGTCCAGGCACCAAAACTACACAGAGAAACCCTGACTCGAAAACAAACAAACAAAAAACAACAACAACAAAAAAAAAAAAAAAAAAAAAAACTTTGAGAGACAGAGAGGAGAAAGAGGAGGAGAAGGGGGGAGGGAGCGAGGGAGAGAGAGAAGGAAGAAAGGAAGGAAAAAAGAAACTCCTCAGAGGTTAAGAGCACTGCTTGCTCTTCCAGAGGTCCTGAGTTCAATTCCCAGCAACGACATGATGGCTCACAACCATCTGTAATGAGATCTGGTGCCCTCTTCTGGCCTGCAGACATACATGCAGGCAGAACATTGTATATACAATAAATAAATCTTTTCAAAAAAAAGAAAAAAGAAAAGAAACTCCATGAATGTGAATGGTTGGAATGTTGTTATTACTGTACTCAGTAAGTGAAGCGCCTGCCTTGACTTCTGAAGAGATTTTGCTTACCAAAGCTTTTATGTTTCAAAAACTTCAACATCTTGAAAAACAATTTTAAGTAATTTAATAGAAAAGGAAAACTACAGCAATCACAGACTTACTTACGCAAATTAATCCAGCAAGATTTGCTATGGTTCAAAAAAGTACATGTTAGTATTCCCAAACCCAAAAAACCAAGTACTTTTCAAAAGAGAATGCTGGTTTCTATTCAAGGACATATAGTTTTATATTTTTAATTTTTTTCTTCTTTGTAGGAGAGTTGCCTAGATCCTAAGTAGTGAGTGTTTAGGTTCAAAGATGTTATTTTTAAACTTACAGGACTGAAAAGAATCATCTTCCCATTGTCTTTTTTAAAATAAAACTAGGCTTGTCTAGCATGCATAAGGCCTTGGGTTCCCAATACCCAGCACTACACACATACAAATCTAATGACTTAAATGTGTGGATATAGACAAGTTAAGACTGGTATCTAAATTTTATATTTTTGACTTAATTAAAAAAATCCACATCAACCAATGAGATGCCTGAGATATGCTGAAAATATTCCAGTTACCCCCTATGTTTATCAAGAAAACTGTACCTTAGTGTTAAAATATATTGGGCCAGGTAGTATATTTGGCATAAAGTATGGTGGTCTAAATGGAAGTTCTCAATACCTTCTCCAGTACAGTCTGAGACAGGAAGCCACTCCTTCTCAGTCAGATCTGACAGCAAGAGGATGGCCAGCAATACGGGTGCCTTCTATAGCTGGGGTCTCTTTAGCTCCACCCAGCTCCCAAATGAAGACACAGAGACTTATTGTTAATCATGAATGCTCAGCCTTACCTCAGCTTGTCCCACCAGCTCTTTTAACTTAATTGAACCTGCTTCTCTATTCATCTACGTTTTGTCTCAGGGCTTTTTACCTTTCTTTCATTTTGTATGTCCTACTTTTCTGCTTCCTCTGCGTCTGGCTGGCTGCCCACCCCCTGGCATCTCCCTTTCTTTCTTCTCCCCTTCCTTGCCACTCCCCATCCCAGCCTAAATTCCTCTTCCTGCTTACTCTCTCTGCCCAGGAGTTCCACCTATACCTCCTCCCTCACTATTGGCCATTCAGCTTTTTATTAGACCAATCAGGTGCCTTAGGCAGGTAAGGTAAAACAGCAACATATCTATCGTTACATAGTTAAGCAGACATTCCACAACAGTCTTCCATGTGATAAACTTCAAAGCAAAATATTTCCCACAACACCAACAGGCTGACAAAATGGAGACTAGATAAGATTCTTGCCTGAACCAGCAAGACTCACACAATTCAACCAGACATCAGGATCCACCAAATCTAACTCAAACATCACCAACACGAAAATTACTAAGAATTGGAAAAGTGAAAAAAGAAAGAGTCAACTACACAAATCTTGATTTGAAGACTTGAAAAGAGTTACTCTCAAGCAATCAGATAAACTCCTACTTTTAAAGAGACAATTTGATCTCTGCACTTGCTTTGTTTATATTTTATTAAAGTAATACATTTAATTCATGATTATTAGGAATGATAGAATTAAGGACTTTGCTACTTTTCCAAGTACAAGTCTCAGTCTTAAAAATGACAAGAACAGCCAGGCGGTGGTGGCACACACCTTTGATCCCAGCACTTGGGAGGCATAGGCAGGTAGATCTCTGGGTTCGAAGACAGTCTGGTCTACATAGTGAGTTCCTAGATAGCCAGGACTACACAGAGAAACCTGTCTTGGGGAAAAAAATAAAAGGCAAGAACCAAACAGCTGCATAACTTC